ACTCCGCCGCCTCCTCTTCTTCTTCTTCTTCCTCTTGCCCCCCCGCCGCAGCTGCCGCCACCGCCGTCGCCGCTTGGGTGGTCGCCCCGTTTTTTCCGGTACACGTCATTGGCTTCCTTTTTGTCCATGCCCGCAGACAACATCGGGGCCGATCCGGGCATTAGGTCGTTGAGGTACCGTGTTTGTTTTTCGATGAGAGATATCAAAGGGGACACCACTGTGTTGCATCGATAGACCGACCCCGCAGAGGGGGGGGGGGGGGGGGGGCATGGAAGCGTCGTCAGAAGGTGTCACTTGTCGGGGAGTGGTCAAAAGAAGTGAACGAGCTGCTCGCTGCGTACGCTCAAGCGCGGTGCCAACGAAGGGTGGCGTGGACGCCGCCAAACAAACAGCGGCAAGGGCTTTTGGGTTGTTGACTTGAGGCACGCCGTTCCTCCGTATTCGCAAAACAAAATCGTACTTTTAGGTATGGGATAGGTGTAGGTGGCTCGGGACAAGAGGCTCGCACTCGAAGCAAGTGGGGACGCTCACCACACACGCAAGGGCAAAACCAATGGCATCAACAACAACAACACCTCGCCGAAAACATACTAAAAAGCCCCGTCGTATGCACAAAACAACCCTAAAACGCAGAAAAACAACAGCAGGGCACCAACAACGCTGTGTGGCGTCATGACCCAACCAGTCGTGTGAGGGTATCGGGCCGCACCGACCGTGATGCCCCCCTTGAGCAGAGCGGGCAGCTGGTAGCAGAGGGACTTTCCGCCGCCCGTCCGCATGACGACGAAGGCGTCCCTCCCAGACAGGGTAGCGTTGACGATCTCCTGATGGTAACGTGCGCACACAAAAACAGACAACGAGTTGTCCAGCACCATCGCACAGAAAAAGGGCAAATATGAGGCCGGTGAGTGTCGTGTTTTACGAACAAGAAAGTCATGCGAGGCAAAAACGAGATCGAGATTTGCTTCGTGACATGGGGGTGTCGTGCGATTCGACATTGTCATTCGGTGTTGACTTTTCTTAACATGTTGTGAAGCCTTTCGCCGGTTGTACTTATTTAGGTGTTAACCAGAGAAAAGACATTGCACCGGAGGACCTGCAGCAAGTAGACGGGGGTATGTAGATAGGGCAGGACGGTCGTGGAGAGACAAAAAGTTGAGAAGCAAGGTGGTGAGATAGGGCTGCACAACAAACTTGTGTCGTGTCGTGTCGTGTCCACAAAGGGCCTCTCCGAGCACTGCTGTCGTGCAGTACTGCCGCGGCAAAAAACATGGGTGGCGGGGCAGGATACCTGCACCTAACGCATGTCACCACCCCAGAGAAGCTAGAGAAGGGCTCTGTCGGAAGGTATTCAGCATCTGCGAAGCATGTGCTGCTTGTGGTCTTATAGCCTATCGAGCGCGCGTGTGCCTATGTCGTTCCGCGTGTCCAGCAACGGTTGCGGTGCAAATGGCCACTCGTTCTGGACGTCTCCTTGTCTATATATCAGATGGGGCTAGTGGTCTCAGCTCTCTCTGTCTGTCTGTGTCTCTCTCTCTCCCTCCCTCCCTCCCCCACTGTCTCTGGCTGTCCATGTCTCTCTCTCTCTCTCTCTCTCTCTCTCTCCCGCCCTCTCTCGCTCGTGCACAGACGGAGTGGTTCGTAAACACGCGCCTGTGGACACGAACACCCTTCGGATCACAAAGGCCAACACCAAAAATATCACACGCTGACACACGCGGAAGAGCGGCAAGGAAGACACTTGCGCCTTAACCTACACCCCCAAACAGCATACCATGCCTCAAAACTGCGGATGGACAACGACAGGCCGGGTGTCAATGGTCTATCGATACCTCTACGCGTGCACGAAGAGTTGCGAAGAAAGACCGACGCAACTACGGACTCCCGATGACGGGACCGTTCCAACAGCACGCACCTCTTTCCAGCATCCGCTCCCTCTTGGACATGAAGAAATCGAGCTCTTTTTCTTTTTCTTAGGTATTCGAGGCACGACAAATTCATCTCCTCCGCAGATAAAAGAGTCTGGAATAGATTGGCAATGAGTTCGAGAGTTTGAAAATCGGTCCACGTGTCGGGGTGCGCGTCCCCCCGCTCTTTTTGTTTCAGCTTGCAGCCACCATGTACCTTTTGGTTGGTGCGCCAACTGCTGAGGCCGAAGGTTCCACGCAGCAGGCCGCCCATCTCCTCGGACCACTCGAAGTCGTCCGCGCCCCAGTCCCGCTGAGGAAGAACGCCTTGCGACGGTGCAGAAGGGGGGAAGGTTAAGGGGGGCTGGGTGCCTAACCAACCGTAGATGCATGGTGGTATCCTGTAGAGAACACGATGGGCCATGAGAACACATCTCTACCTGGACGGTGGGGCACGGAATGACTTCGTTAACCCCATGTTTTACTACTACGAGATGGGCGCCAACACGTATTGTATGTACCTCTCCCTTTCTACGAGGCTTGTTTCTAGACCAGATTACAGGTGGAGGGTGTGACTCACAAATGGGTCACTTGTTCCTCTCTTTAGTGCGTCCCGTATACCTTTTGTGGGCAAAAAAAAAAAAAAAAACATTTTTGGGTACGTTAGACTGTGACCACGGGAATCAACCGCGTCAAGTGTTAGACTAGTACGGACAGAAGAAGGTACTGGGTAGAGAGAACGGAACGTTTTTTTTAATGTGAAGACAACAATACAACAACAGCTAACTAAAAATAAAAAACTAATAAAAACACGTCACATCGAAGAAATGTCCCCAAAACTGAAAACTAAAAGCAAAAAAGACGCACATTCTGTGAATTGCTTCCCGACAAAGCTAACAGGCACATACATACATTTACGCAAGTACCGTAAGAATGCGAGAGGTGGCACGGTTCGGACAGATGGCACTGGTCGGCGATATGGCACCGAGGTGCGCCAAAAAAAGCAAGAACATCATGATTTTATTTGTGTTGTCGGCACCGAGGTCGGAGAGATCGCACCCGGTGTGGTCTCTCCGACCCCCAAATCCAAGATTGAGTGGTAGGCAAGTGGGCCAACGCCACTTTTTGACCTACTGTACTGAGATACCTGGGCACCTTTTACATGCTGTGTCTGCGGTGCGTGTTTCCTGTACAGTACCGAACAATACATAGACCTGCTTGCACACTGCTTTTACCGATAAAGCCTATTCTTGTGCTGGTATTGTGGTATGGAAACCAGGATATAATAGGTATCTTCCTAGTGGTAGTGACGCACATACAACCGTAGAGATCCGAGACCCTGCGAACGATGTTCTCAAGGTCTGAAGATGTTTACAAAGAAAGATCCCCCGCCTGCTGTGACCAGCCGGAGGATGAAAGCGTGCCTCTGAGGCCCACTCTCACCTTTCAACCTAGCAAGGCCGACCACAGTCAGCCACAATTGGCAATTCCTCGCCACATTACAACAGGAGCGAAATACCTCCGCTGGTGAGTGGTTATTCACCACTCCAGAGACCTTTACTCGGTAACAGAGGAAAGGATATTCTCATTGGTGCGACAGAGGTCTTTGAATCTGTTGATCGTGACAAACTACGCGCGAAACAAGCCGAAGAACACGGCGAGTACATCGAACACATCACAAACAAAAAAACACCGCTACAGGAACACGAAACGGCAACAACAATGTCGTATTATTCCGCACAAAATGGTCTCCTGTTGCTCAAGTCGTACTTGCCAGGACACCGTTTTGACCCACTGTACTGAGGTACCTGGGCACCTTTTACATGCTGTGTCTGCTGTGCGTGCTTCCCTGTACAGTACCGAACAATGCAACATAGATCTGCTTGCACACTGCTTTTACCGACAAGATTATTATTGTGGTGGTTTGGAGTACTGTAACAACACCTGTTGCGGGTATTCAGCAACAGTCAGGCCGCTCGCTGTTTGCACCTATTCTGCATCGCACCGGCCGGAGAGATGGCACCGGAGTGCCTCGAAAAAGCTAGATGGAATGGTGTAATTATATTTCCAAACCGGGGTCGGAGACACGGCACCGGTCGGAGAAACGGAACCGAGGTGCGAAAAAAAGCAAAGAAAAAAAACGGCCGCTTCGACCATGGTTGTGTCTCAAACGTGTGCAGTCTTAGTTTTTCTTTGATAGTACGTAAATTTCTAAAAAAACATTCAAGAGTTTGATCGCACCCGGTATCCACATCTCGCAGTATTACGGTAGCCAACGAACAGGTCTTCTGTTTGAGAACGGAGATGGTTCTGCATCGTGTAGACGAGCATGACGGGAAAAATAAACACGCGGGTAAGCAGATTGCACGTGAGAAAAAACAAGACCACAAATGGAAAGAAAAGAACGAGATTTAAGTGATCATATCCTCGACGATCCACCAAAGTCAACCAACTCTCCACTCGTCCTTTCTTGTTGTTGCCACATTATCGTTACAAGGACGTCAATTGAAGAATATAAAACCCAACAGTAGATGCGCTCTTTACCTTTGTCTTGTCTGAGCCAACTTGTTGGAGCCTGCATTCCCTAACACCCCCCCGGGTCCACATCACCGTACGCGACACAAGATAACACACCCCGGAGATAACATTTCGGCTTCTAAAAATAATATCACCGGGTGATGTATTCTGTGGGGTGTGTGCTGTCTTGCGTAGCCCGGGTGATAATCGCGGAAGTCATGAAGGGGGTGTGGCAACAAGGGGGGGTGATATAACTACCGCACACTTGCAGGGACTGAAGTTGTGTGGAAACCAAATAGAGAGTATGTTGGCACTGCTTGCAAAGAAATACCTACCGTGACTGTGGCCACACGTACCGGGGGCGTAGCATTGAGGGGGGAGTGATACCCCTGCCAGAAAAAAACTACCGCACTGCTGCCGCACTTGCAGGGTGTGTGGAACTGAGCGGGGGTGACAGATAGCACTGACACCAATGAATGCAGCAGTGAAGTTCCTGTCGAGTGTTATTTGCGGTCGTGCGGAAGTGGGGTGTGTGTGTGTGTGGGGTATACTCGTACGTACAAGTGGTGCATGCCGAGTCGTTAGACCATTGGGGGTAAGTGTTGTGTACATAACTCCGGCATGAACGTCAACAGCGCTATCCGAAACAGCGAAAGAGAGTGTTGCCATGCAATGAAAAGAGGTTTCATCCATCACTACCGCCGGTCACAAAGAAAGTGGTGCGCAAAAAGGCAAATAAAGTTGGTTGGATTGCATTGAAGGATCGCTTACGGGGTGGTTCCCCCGCACTCAAGGGTGTGTTGCGCATGATCCCTGCTGGGCCATCTTGCATGTCATCATAAACCTCTGCTCAGTCATCACCGGGGGCGATAGGAGCATGCGCTCCGTGATCACATTCGCCCTAACCGCACAGGGTGTGATATCTTGCGTAACCTGGGTGGTATTTGCTCCTCGTTTGAAATCCAAATACGTTATTGTAGCACTGGGTGTTGTATCTGTGGGGGGTGTCTTATCTTATGTCGGTGTGTCATCTTGTGTCGTATATGGTAGTGTACTCTGCAGTGTAGGTGATATGTTTGCCGGCTTGCACGTGCCGTCTTTCGACGCACCTCGTCATGATAAAAATAGAACGACATCGAGTGCAGCTGTTCAGCTACAAGTAGTCTAGGTCTATGAGCTGAGCAAAGGGACGACGTTTGGGCCGGTCTTATAGTCTTCCTGCCATGACCACAAACTCAAGCCAGCCGGTGGTCAACGCGGTCGACGCAAACATCAACAAATGCACACTCTAGACTGCAGTTGCTGCTGGTGTGCTCAGTGCTCAACTAATTTGTAGTCCACGCGGGCGGGACTGTCGACCTGCATGCAGCATCCACACTGCCTGTACATGAGCTTGTAGCCGAATGCAGTACATTGTTGTACACACAGTTGAAATCACGAAGAGCAGCGGTTTGTTGGCCGGCCCACGAAACTGCCGTAGACTGTTCCGAGTGGTTGGCACGGCCACTGCAGAAGGCTTCGATATTTAAATTGGCGTGGAATGGAGTGAGTGGATGGAGTTGTATGCACACAGCAGTAGCCTACACGTTGTACGGTACGCACAAAGAAGCTTACACGCACCCTTGCTTGACCACCTGCAGACAATGGGCATAAGAGTGAACAACAAAGCGCTCACGTCGTTTCTGTCGGGCTTGTATTTCGGTTGAAAGCTGATCTCGGCGTGTCTGGAGAGCGGTCTGCGTATCCAGCAGTTCGGCAACCTTGGCGTCTACGAGAGCCAGCTCACGGCAGACGTTCTCCAGTTCGCCCTCCAGGTGCCCGCTTGGCACTCCCGCTGTCATGGTATTTGATCCACCCTCCTCCATGCTCTCCATTTTCTCTCCCGACAAAGGGAGGGAGGACACTTGACGACAAACGCGCACGTTGTTGTTCGCACCGGCGCCGCTGGCCCCCCTTTCTCTGCGTACAATATCCCGTTCGCTTGCCGAGACCAGAGGCTATAGCTAGCCGAGGCCCTTGTTCGGCGTGGTGCGGGCGAACCTGCCAACCTGATGCAAACGCGGCGTAACTTTGGACCAATCAGCGTCGATCTGTTTTGGGAAGGCACGCGCCCATGTATCCACCCTGTTCTACTCTTCTTCTCGTCTCTTTCCGCCCATCCCGCACTGCTCCACACCCCCTGCTGCTCCCTGCTCACGCTTTAGACGCAGGGAGAGAGAGAGAAAGAGAGCGAGGGAGCAGCAGCAGCAGCGATAACCATGGGTATGCACGTGCCATCTCCGGTGGATGCGGGGGAGCCTTCACCGTGTGCGTGTCTAATCCGGCCGCCTTCGGCAGGACGTCAAGACAAGGGTAAGCCATCGAGCCAAACATCTGCTGTGTGTGTTGTAGCATAAATACGGGAAGTTGTTCGGCGAGCTAGTAGGGTCACGCGTTCGTCCTTTGGAATGGACACGCCGCGGAGTAACAGACCGTATGCCTTGGCGTAACCCAATGCAGTCACAAGCCACAGTCCTCGGGGGCGTGTCCTCAGTTCCGCGTCGTGGGCCGTTTCTCTCACACACTACGTCATGGACCCGCTTACATATGCGTATGTATGTCACGCACCTGGTTTATCGTCACAAGTTGATGTTTGTGTAATTAGTGGACCGAACCGCAGTTGCTTGGAAATTTCGAGTGTGTAACCCCCCCCCCCCGGATAGAAAAACACTCCGAACTTGTGCCTCACCGGAGTAGCTCGTCTGTGAGGTGGGGGTCACGAGGCCCAACTTCGCTCACCAAGGTCATCTACACAAAGATGACTAGTTTTGAAGAATATTTCTGATGTACACGTCGAAGTATTTTGTACCTTGTACATAGATAACAGAGCAGTTTTCGATCACAGACATGAAGACGTCGTTGTGGAAGCGGAATCCATCGTCCCTCGACAGACATGGTCGGGGAGATGGAACCTCTTCGGAGCAGGCCACCTCCACATTGTCATTCACCTACTCTCTTAGGAGCCCTCAGTCTTGTTGTCTTGTTCAGACAAGAGGAGAGGCTTTTGCAAGGGGTATCATCCGAATCTTTTCTGAAAGTCACCTCCAGAGCAAGGATCTGACTTGTACAATGCGCACTTGACAGCAAACGTCGATGACAGGTTGTTCGTTGCGCACTAGCGCGGCCCAGCAAGAGCAATGATTATGCATACCGACGTAAGAAGCAGAAGTATATAGGAAACAATCATGCGGGCTTGCCTATTCTGTTCGTCGGAGCTGTTGCGGCATTAAACTTGCAGTCCGTATCTTTCGGAAATAATTGTCCATCCGCGACATACTTGCCATCACGTTACTTGGCAGCACCGGTACACGGCAGTAGAATTGGCACCCGCCTCGCTACCACCACACCCCGCCGCACTGCCGTAAGGTAGCGTCAAGCCTTGACATGTAGATGCCGAGACGGTCGACAGTATCTACCAACCACATGTCTTTTCGGGGTGTGCGTGACAGGTAGGTAGGTACACGTGGTGCATTTTCGATGAATGCAGCAGTTGCATTTCCATGGATAACGTATGCTGCGGACTCTCTCACGCGGCTTGAACCACCTACCGCAGCTGCTCCTGCTGTACATATGCATACATATGCATATGATACAGCAGTGGGGGGTATGACATAAACGACGGTATATTAATGCGTCCCTAAAACCAAAAACACACCCATCACACTGCTTGTTATTCTTATGCCCGGCAAATCGACCGGCGCTTTCAAAGGATTAAGGAAAAGTAAATACACACAGAAAGACTACCCATTCGAGATATACCCACAGTCGAACGGGATGTGTACGGAATGACTTGGTGATCAGTCCGGTTCTCAGCAGTATCGTTGGTACTTACAAGGCCGGCGGCGCTGTTCAGTTGGCTTATTGAGGCCCCCCCACTGCATGTAGCTGTGGTCTGTCGTCTTTCTTCGCTCAGTGACCTTGATTGTACACAGCAGTTCAGTTGATGGGATGGGAGTGAATACTGGCGAGCATTTGAACCTTGAATACGCTGCGTCTGCACGCATTCAACGAGTTCCAGGCAAATCGTGTTTCGGAGCTACCCATCATGTATTATGCATCCACCGGCTCCTATTGAAGCTCGAGTTGAAGTTCGAGATCTAGTACGTCGAAAGTCCGTCGTCCAGCATGCTGTATTTTGTTCACTGATTTATCTACGATGAATTCCGTGCTTGGTTAGTGCGAGACGACATAAATCTCCGCCAAAAGGTTTCAATCTGAAAAATTAATTCCTCGAAGTCAATGCATTTACCTTCTTCGCTCTCTCTTTATAGACCCATCCGTGCAAGAAAGTCTTCCACGTTTTTCACGAACCCTCCCCTTCCGCTCCTTCCCTTCTCGTACCTGCTATAGATCGGCACGACCGGCGCATGAGCCTGCCATCACCGGCAGAGTTGTCCGTCATCGAGATCGAGGACGCGCACACCCCGATACCCCTTGGAGGTTTCCCGGGGGGCAGCCCCACCGGGGAGGTCATTGGCACCCCGGGGCGACCGCACCGGGAGCGGAACCACTCGGGGGGGGGCTTCGTGACGCTCAAGCGGAAGGGAGTGAGAGACGTCGTGCGGCAAGCGCATGCCCGGTCTGCGTCCGCGGGATCCGTCGGCGGCAAGCCGGCCGGCAGCTGCCGCACGTGTGGCGGTGGCGGAGGGGGTACCCCGGTAACGTGCTCAGAGTTTTTCTCGGGCGGCGGCGGCGGCGGCGGCAGCGGCGGCGGCGGCGGCAACTGCGGCTACGATGAACGCGACCACGTCCACGACTTAGAAGCGAACGAGCCGCTGGGTCCGCCGTCTCCGATGCCGTTTCGAAGACCGAGCGGGAGCGGGAGCGTGGGCGGCCGCGGCAGCGGCAGCGGCAGGCGGGGCAGCGGTACGCCTGGCTCCGCAGCCGCGGCCGTCGCTTCGCTCGAGGACGCGGCGCAGCGAATCGCCGTAGACCCGGACTCGGGACACTCGTATTTCGTGGAGCGCTCCACCGTCTGCGACGCGTGTCCCTACTGCGAGGACACGTGCGAGGTGGCGTGGTGCAACGGCTGCGACGAGACCAGGATGCACCTGGAGGAAGCGTACGGGAAGCTCATGCTGTCCGCGGCGGAGGTGGCGGGGGCAGGCGGGAGGCACGGCGGCGGAGGCGGCGGCTGCGAAACCGGCGCTGATAACGGCGGCGGTAGCAGGCTGAAGCTTGCCCCCGTGCTCTCCCGACGGTACCCGCGAAAGTCGAGCTACACGCTCTGCGAGGTTCGCCGCCGGAAGGTCACGGGGGCGTGCTGGGTGGTGTCCCAGGGCTCCGTGTATGACGTCACAGCCGCCCTCCCGGATCACCCGGGGGGAAAGAGGTCCGTGCTCAAGAACGCTGGCGGGAGAGACTGCGCCGAGGACTTCTTCTTCCACTCCAGGGCCGCCAAGAAGCAGTGGCGGCAGTACCGTATCGGCAGCCTCGTCGCGTGCCGGCCGGGGCAGGGGGACGGGGACGGGGGGGCAGCCGGCGACGAGAGGTCGATGCGGATCGCAAGCTCGTGCGTAATCAGCTGAGTATGTTTTTGCACGCCGCCGCCGCCGCCGATCGTGGAGTCGCCGCTGTATCGCTCTCCCTGGTCCACCTCCTTCCTGTTCGATGAATTGACCATGCCGCTGATGCTCCTACGGCGCACGCTGTCTGGTTGTTTTGGTTTGTGAACGGTTACGCCGGAGATTGGTTTCGTTTTTGTACATTTTTGGAGTCCCTTCTATTCTAGTCCCGCGGTTTGACATAGACTAATCTTTTTACAAGGGTGTTAACGGTTCTTCGTTGTGTAGTGTTAAAGCAAATTGCCGGAGGGGTTGAGGTTCCTCGCAGGGCCGACTGATACTGCTGTACGCGTTAGATAAACACGCGAGGCGTGTGGTACGGCAAAATCGTTTTCGTACGGGTGTGTCTAGAGGAGAGAGGGTGTATTTGACGGCGTCACGCATCTGCCGTGCGGCTACATAGCACAATGGAAAACTCGCCGGAAATCACCGCGGCAGCAAGCGGTATTACCGGTGTTGGGGCGCTGCGCTAGACGGTGTTCCGTCGCGTCATGTAACCACACAAGTTGTTTCCGGTGTATGCATGTGGTATGCCACTCTTAGTGTGAATTCTGTTGTTCTTACAGGGGAAGCGTGTTTGGTGCTTCGGATGGGGAGGGGTGCGTGTCCGCGTGTTGTATGCGCCTGTTTCTTGTGCGGCTGCAACAGGGGTTCTGTAAGACAGTAGTAGGTTTTGACACCACTGCTGTTCATCTAGAATCTTGGGGTCAAGGCTACTGTAACAGGGGGGGTCTGTGAAATAGATTTTGATTCTACCGTTCATGTAAGAATCTTGTGTTCCGAGGCTGCAAGAAGGGGTCCGTGTGACAGATTTTGTACTGCAGTTCATTAGAACGTTGCTGAGGCTGCAAAGGAAAGGTCTGTGCAACAGACTCTTGATACGCCACCCAGCTTCTTCTGTGCGAACGAGGTAGTTCCACGTGTGTATTCTATCACCCCATCCCGCCAGCCCCCCCCCCCCCCCCCCCCCAAGGGGGGGAAAAAGGGGCCAGGCCGGGGCCCTTTTTTGGGTAAAAAAAAAGGGGGGGAAAGGGTTCCCCAAAAACCCCCGGGGGGGAAATTTTTGGGCCCCTTTTTTTGACCGGGCCTCCCAAAGGGTGTTTCCCGGGGAACGGGGGGTCGGGGGGTTGTTTTCCGGGGGGTAAAAAAAAATTTAAAAAAAACCCGGGGACCGAACTTTGTTTTTTTGCCCCCGGGGGGTTTTCTTCCCTCAAAAAGGGGTGGGCCCCCCCCCGCTTTTGTATTTTGGGGAAAATTTTTGGGGATCCTTGGGTGTTCCCCTTCGTCTGAAAAATT